GTGAAAATCCCTTCCCTCAACTTGGCTAAAAGCTTTAGAAACAAACCTAGCCTTAAACCTGTAAACTTCACCATTAGGTCCGTACTTCAAAGCAAAATGCCATCTGCTGCCTATAGGCTTCTCTCCTCTAATTCTAACTAGTTCCCAAACTTTGTTTTTTTTCTAACGAATCAAACTCTTTTTTCATTGCTTCTTGCCAGTCAGGGTCTGTTAAAACTTCCTTAGCACTATTCGGGAACTTCTCCAAAAAATACTACATCACCTACTCTTTCTTCTTCATCACTTTCTATCTTTTGCACTTTGAGTTTTACTTCACTCTCAATTCCTATCAGATAACCTTTACTATTTTCCGATTTCCCCAGGAAAATTCCTCTTTTAGAGTTCTTGCCTAGTTTTTTGCGAAGCTGTTTTTCCACAAAACTATACGCTACACACCCAAAAGTTTTCTCAAAATTAAGGTTGGGTTTTTCTCCATACATAGACTCGTAGGGTGTTTTGCCTATAGCAGAATGAAAGCACATATTTTTGAGATTAGTAGCCATATTAAGAGCATAAGGCCAATAAGTTTGTGATAAATTGGCATCAAAAATCATGCAGTGAGCCGTTGGAATAATTGTTCCCCACACCCTTTCTATCTTTCCGTTCTCTTGAGGGGTAAAAGGAGCCGATGTTTCCAAACTTTTTTTGTTTCCTACAAACTCGCTTAAAATCTTGACTAATGTACTCTCCTGCCCCATCTGAAACTAAAGTCCGAGGGACTCCTATGTCTTCTATGAACCTTTCCAACTTTTCTGCTGCCTCATCTCTTGTCTTCATGAAATAAATTTTTAGATATCTAGACAAACTGTCCACAAAACCTGTGGCATATCTATGTCCATCCTATGCTATTGGGTCGATAGGACCTAAAATATCTGTGTGAACAATATCTAGTGTCCTGGTTGCCCTGGTGTAAGAATCTTTCGGGACTGGCTTCTTTTTTGCTTTATTCAACTCACAAGTTTCACAATTCTCAATTTTAAAATCACTTATCTTCATGCCTCCAACATGTTGCTCCAAATGACTTAAATCTTTGTAGTTATTATGACCCATCCTGCAATGCCACTTTTTCAATATGCTAACTACATAACACTCGTCTTTTCTTACAAAAGTGTCCCATAAAAAGAGACCACTTTCCTCTCTTAATAGGAAAACTGAATCAGTTCCCAGATGAACAAACGAGCTCCTGCTTTCTTCATTTTTGATACACTCAGCAAATTTTCTAAATTTTCAGCAACGTACAAAGTATCCTTCAGCTCAATCATCTTAAACTCGCCTTTCTCATCTTTCACTCTGAATCTAACTTCAACTTTCCCTAAGTTTTTGATTCAGAGAAATTTGCATTGCTAACCAATACTTTGAAGTTCTCATCTAAACTAAGAAATATGTCTCGATCCTTAATCATATTACTGGTAGCTACAGAGTCTACAACTAAATCCTCGCACGGAGACACTCCACTCAGAAAATTATAATGAGCCTCTGTTTCAGCTGCCAGATTCTGCTGTTCACGTTTGTCTTACTAATGAACTTTTTCTTTGCTGGGCAAAACTTCAAAAGGTTCAACGATTGCCATAACCGAGAATTTGTCTATTTGGTATTCATCCCATCCGTTATTTGATGTAAGCTCGGCAAATAGCTCAGGGTCGTTTTCGGTTTCTAGACTCTCTGTCTCTATTTCTTCCTGTTGTTCATCCTGTCGTTTTCCTAAACAGTTAACGTTTGTGGATCTGGAAACTTTTGCAAAATGGCCTCGTTTGCCACATTTTGAACAAACTCTGTCTTTAGCCGGGCAAGGTTGAAGATGTTTTTGGTTGTATTGGTTGCCGCATTTATAACATTGTTTTGAAATGTTCGCATTGTTGTTTCTTTGTTGTCCTCTCGTGTTTTGTGTTCCACGTGGGTATGGTCGTCCGCGAAAACAACCCGACTTCTTTGTGAGTTTTGATTGTTTGAATAGTTGTATCGACCACCCCGTGTGTTGATATAGTGTTATGGTTCTTGTTTTGATGTAATTTGTCCTCCGAATGGGTTTATCTTCATGGTGCTGCTGTGTTCAATTCCTTTTCCCGACTGGATTGCATAATCATATGCTTCTTGTGGAGACCGTGTTTGTGCTAATAGTTCTTCTGCGATTTATCATTTTTCATGTGTGCTGTAAACATGTCTCTAACCCATTCGTCTTCTCTGTCCCCACAGTCAGCCCACTAGATCTGCATGAAACTGTTCAATACTCTCCGATTTCTTTTGTTTACGGCAGATAAAGATATATCTTTCGAAGGCTACAATTCTGTTAGTGACAAAAATATCTTCCAACGTTGTCAAAATTTCTTGTGTGGTCACATTGTGTAGTACCAAACTAGGTATTTTCTGTTGAACCTGTCTTTGGCCTTTGGCTCCCAAACAGAGAAAGAGGTAACTATGGACTCTTGCGTCTGCTTCATCCCACCTATATGAATTACATAACACTGTTTTCTCCCGGACTTTTAAGACGTGGTTTTCCCAACCAACTCGATTCTCCTGATTGCGGCCCTCTCGGTTTTTTCTTTGTGTTTTTGTTTCGCCCGTTATTTCAAGTTCATACACAGGTTCTGAGGGTTCGACGAGTGTTAGTCTGGCTCTCAATAATTTCCGTATTACAATTCGATCCTTTGCAAATACAGCCATCTTCAGTATAGCTGCCCACTTGGACCATTCTAGTGGTGGTTCGGCAGACGCTCTCTCCCAAAATGGGTTAATGTTCAGTGGGTTTTTGGAATATCCTGCTGGCTGCGCAATGTCAAACCGATGGGTATGATGTTCTAATTCTCGAATCTGAATGGATCGATAAACCGTGATTCTCAGTTGGAGCGATATAAAACAACAAATTAATATACAACATTAATTCAACTCTGAATCGTATTTCAATTAGAGTTCGTCTTCTCTGTCTATCAAGGTCAAATGACTGGCCACCTAGGCGTTTAACATAAAACTATAGATAATATAAATAACAAATATATAAAGTTGGTTTGTCGATCCAGGCAGGATGACAAAGCTAATGGTTTGCGGTTAACAACTATGGTGAAATTGGTCAAATGACTGTAGATCACAATCACACTGACTATTGTCTTTGTCTTTTTATTATTTGATTTTCTTAGAATCAAAAAAACTAACCACGAATTGATCTTTCCAAAAATCACTTTCAAAAACTTTTATAAAATTTATCATGGTTTCACTTTCTTCATCTTAATTTGATATAAGCTGATTTTTGACAATATAATTTATCATTTTTACGATAGCAAAAACCCACTAAACTCTTTTGTAAATCAAAACTTAAATAATGGGCTTTAGATTATCAATTTTCACACTGCATATAACATCTCTAAATCAGTTTTATTAAATTTCTGTCAGTGCGATAAGCAAATGATGAACAATAAATTATGCTCAAAAGTTTAGCGCACATTTTGCAAAATAATTTTTTATAAATTATCAGCTTAATGCAAAACAATAAGCTGATAAATTTAGGTTTTGGCTTTTATAAAATTGTCCACCAAAAAATTGTAGCTCCAATTTCACGGCAAAAGCTTGTTTAGAAAACGAGTTTTTCTCATCAACGACTATTTAGTTCCTGCAATGACACGAATATTGGCCTCAACTTTGGTTGTGTATTTCCATATTTTTCAGACAAGCAAATCTGTCGCAATTTTCTCGACCTTGATCAATATATAAAGTTTCCATCACGCAGAATAAGTAACTTTCGCAAAATTAACCGCAAAAATTGCTAGTTAAAAATTCGAAAATTGTTTGGAGAAACAAAACAATCCGAGCAACAAATATTTCGTCAATTTCTGCCAAAAAAAACGGAACAATGACAAAACATTAGGTCGTTCAATCACTCGAAATTGATAATTTCACTGGTTGAACCGATGATGAAAATATTTTTTAAAAACAGGAAAAAAACAGGAAAACTAACAGCAGTCTGTTTTACAAACTACTGGGAAGATGAGTTTGATGAATATTCATTATTTACTTTGAAATTTTGAAACGTTTTACTGTAGTTTAGCTTGCTGAAAAGCAAAATAAAGACAAAAATAAGACTGCTCGCTTCTCAGGACAAAACTTTGAATGCTCCGACTGCCCCACAATCCACATCCACTAAATTTTAATAAAAGAAAAAAATGAAAGTTTATAAATTTTGGACAAAATCAATAAATAAGTGAAAAAATTTGAGTAGCGCATAATTTTATCCAGAACATGGCCAAATTGGCAAATTTCAAACCCCCAGAATTTTACAAAAAACAAATGGAGGTAAAACATATTTTTACATGTGAACTCAAGAAGCCGACCGATATCTTTAATGGGGTATAAAACATTTTTGTTACAAGAAATTATTTCGATCGGCGAAAATTGACTGAGTAAAAAACCACACCAAGCATAAATATTCCGTTTTCTCCAAAAGTCGGAGTAATAAAAGATGATACTTATGCTATTCATTTTGTTTGTTAACTTAGACTCCACTTGTCGGGCATATCTGCCCAATTGGAGTGTTTTCAGTCGCCGGTGATATGCAAAACTTATCATTATAAATGAAGTTTTTCTGACATTACTTGAAAAAAATTTTCAATTTTTTTTTTTGTAAAATATCTTCGCAAAATTACGAAAACAATTTGATAAACTTTGCGTCTTCTAACGCAATTTTTGCATCAATTAGCGTGTCTTAACTCATTTCGAAACAATTTCTTGCCAATTAAAGGCCTAATCTTAGACGAATCAGGGCAAAACAATTGGTTCAATCATCACGAGGCCAAACTGTGCACTGGATAGGGGCACAATTTTGTGTCTGTATGTTCCTGGATTCCAGGGACAAGTACTTAAACATGTCAAAGTTTTGTAAGAATATAAAAGAAATATGAAAGAAATGCTTGTCTAACTGCAAAGCCTCTTGGCACTTCAATTTTATAGGAAAACTCAATTGAAAATAGTTCTGATTATATAAGCCATGCACGTAATTTCATTTTGCATATCATTTAAAATTATTAGTCTAAAATGTGAAAAACTAAAACAAATATTATCGTTCCTCATTGTTTGTTTGCTTGTGTTTTTATCCAATCTTCGTTGCTTCAATTTGAGAATGAGCGAGTTACACCTGTCGGAGTGGGCTCGTTCTCGGTGTCTTCTGAAAAATTGTCCGACATCAATCGGACATTTTTTGGGTCGATTACCATGTAGTCGTCATCGTCACTGTCATCGCCGTCTCCGTCGTCCTCGTTATCATTCGGCTCATGGTCTTCATCCGAGCTAAAAGTGATAAGAATAAAAAATGGAGAAAATGTGAATTAACAATTTTCAGAAGAGAAACTTGAAAAGTATCTTAACAGAGCAATTTTTGCATTGATAGATGCATCGTTACTTTATACTTTCTATGGACTTGGCATGAAAAAAGAGATACATTATTTGAAGCTCTGAGGGGAAACTATATAGTTGAACCAGGAAGCCATCATAATAAACAACTAAACTGTATCATCGAAAAAACTAAATCAGGAAAAAGATCCTACAGGGACTCGAATCCCATACCTGTCATCGTTGCAGAGTGAGTCACTGAAATATAGATCGTCGCCAGTTATTCCTGTGTTGACAGTAGTAAAAGTGTGATACTCTTTGGAGTAGCTTCCAGCTGTACTATTTTGGTTTGTCGCTCCATGAGGTTCCTGCTGGTAGGAAGGATGGGAGGCCTGGGTCATGTTAGTAGGTACCGCCTGAAAAGGAAAATGGATTAATGCAAATGATTTATGCGAAATTGTGACGAAACAGGCTGCAAAGCTCGCTAGCAATGATATGGTTGCCGACTAGAGATCTGCACGCCGCTTTGATTTACACGTGGAGCTCCTGCTCTTAATTCATAGCTTAGAGAAGTTGAAAAAAAAACATTTAACCTGTGTGTTTAATTGAACGCCTCAAACTTAAAAAATGGGTTTCAAAAAAGTTTCAGAACCCATCTTTAGTAACTCTAATATGGTTTCCATGGTTTTTTGGCCTTGAGTAGTTTAATTTAGTTTTCACCTGTCGAAAATTATTGTTAAAAGTTTTTAGAAAAATTAGCTATGCACAAACTTAACTTAGCCAAATGATGGGCTCTTTTCCACCCCCCCAATTTCAAACTATCAATTTTCTTAGTTGTCTTACGTGTTATTAAATGTTCTGACTGACATATTAATTTAAGTTCTTACAAAAAACATTATTTTTTCGCTTTTTTCTTCAAATTATTGCTCTGATGTTGCATGGAAAACAAACAATATGAAAATATTTATATTAAAAAATACTAGAAGTTTCATGAAATTTTCTAAATATATTGGAAATTGTTTGAGAATTGTACGACGGCAAGTATCGAGCCATTTTCATAAAAAAGCAAGTGTACCTTAAGCTAGATTTTATGAAGATGATATAACCCCTGAGTTGGATTTTCTGGTACTGACCTGCTGGTTCGAATTAGCAGTGGAAGATGAGTTGTGTGACTTATTGTGTGGCCCTGCTTGATCTGAGAAGACGGAGCTGTTCTCGCTCAGGAAGTGGAAGTGGTCTAGTGCTTCAGTCTCCTGTGGGCCGAATCGGCTGAACTCAACGTCGGCTAGAGGAGTCCGCTGCTTCACAGACGCCACTCGTACTCTCCCTATAAATGAGTTGAATTAAGATGCTTTTGTTGCGACCACATCATTTAAAAGACGCAAATGAATTATATATAAGCAAGCGTTTTTTTTTCTGCCAAGCGTGGTATCAAGCGTGGTATCATATTAAAACCTCTCAGCCGGGATTCGGGTTACAAAAAAAAATCGAAAAGCTGTCTCAGCATAGAGAAAAATGGTCTGAAGTTTTCCGTTATTCAGACTAAACGTCACTAAATTTGCCAATGATACGAAGTCCTGCTTTGTCAATTTAAATGTCCTTTGATTTAATCATTATTTAAGCTTTTATATCGCCTCATTAAACTAATTCAATTGCTCTGTACTCTGTAAAAAAAAGATATTTAGTTTTAAAAATTGACGTTTTATTTTGTCCTGGTCATATCACAAAGAATCTCAAGGCTCATATTTCATGCTCCACATTTGATTCAATTGTCTAAGGATTTTTTGTTAGGGCTTGTTTATGTTTTATGTTTGGTTTAGAGGAAGAACCGACAGGTCTCTTACCCGACTGCATATGTCGGTTGCACCTGTAGTCAGCTGTCGAACTCGAATCCAAATAGTTCGTGTCGTCTTCCGAAGATGTCGTCATCTGCTGGTTGTCAATCCACTGCTCTAGATACGCAGTCCGACTGTCCATCACTTGATCTTCATTTTTTGCTGGATCTGATTTGTTACTCTCGGTTATTTTCTCTGTCGGCTCGCAAGACTCTTGCTGGTCCACTTGACTTTCATTGCAGTGCTTGGACTGCGTGTGGAAATGAGAGTCATTGCAGCCGATGTTTGATTGGCCGAAATTATGCATATGTGAGTTTGACGATGTAGGTACTGCAACTGGTATTGGTTCATTGAAATTGGGGTTTGCTGGATGATAATTTTTGTGATGACCTGGATTTTCTTCAGGGTCGAGAGGAAGATCCGGCACATGCGACACATCTCCAGGATTTTGTATATCCCTCTAAAATTTATAAGCATTTGCAAGATTTTAAAACCGGATCTTGTGAAGTCCGCTCTCTTTTAAAATCTTTCAAGGTCAGCGCTCGCTTGTTCACATCAAAGGCGCCTTTTATAAACTAGTCTGTCAATTAAAATTTGGTCATTTCTTAGAAATTTTTCAAGAACCGAAGACTACTAACAGGCAGAGTGGCTGTTCGGCCATCTGCATGATCTGCCGAGTTGTTCTCCACAAGAGTGCTGGATCCACCATTCGTCTCATCAACTCCTCCATCACTCGTTCGATTAGCAGAATGGTTCTGAAAAATATGCTTAAAACACATTCAAAGATTTGATATTTGCCATCAGGCAAAAACCGTTTGGAATTCTAAATTAACTATCTAGCATTTGTAGTGATGAAAAATTCCGCTTACCCAAATATTTCTATTTTTTTTCGAAACGCAGTTGATTTTTTGATAGAATTTGTCCATGTTTTGAAAATTTTCAAAGCACCTTCAAGCTATGAGCGCTAATTAGAACCTGGGCTCTGGTTGCTTTAAATTGTTTGCGAGATATTTTCGTCTCGAAAATGTGCCAATAAAAAAGATTTTTTTTTGATTGGTTTGCTAGTTGTTTGAAAAGCAGCAAAAGATATTTAAAAAAACCCGTTGAATTATTTAAACACTGACTCACAGTAATACTACATTTAACAACTCACATGGTGCATATTCACGTTTCTCCTTTGAGCTTCAGGGGTCATTGGCCCCATAGAGGTCACAGGCATAGACTGTCTGGGGTCAATCAGATGGTTGTATCTTGTCGGTGGGTGGTTCCTCAACATCCTTGGAGACATTTGGCCGCTTGTAGATGCCGCCTGCTGTGCTGCGACGAAAACCGGATGTTGATGATGATGATGATTGTTTGTGTTCTCGTGAACAGGATTTTGTTCACCTTGTAATGCATCTGTGACCACTGGGTTCGAATTGTACTTTGCAGCACTCGATGTATGCTTGCGCAAAAGAGAAGGTATTTTCAATTTCAATGATTTCTTGTTCTTTATATTAGGATTGTTTTCATGACTTGTTGGAGCATCTTGAGAATTAGATTTTTGAAGTTTAGTTTTTGGCTTAGTTTTATTAACGGGAGTTGGTCCTCGCTTAACTGGAATTGAGCTTTGTTTTGGAAGCTTAGATCCCTTGTTCTTTTTCGTCCGCTTTTGGCTATCCTGATTATGATCACTATCGCTATCATTTTCTTGTTTCTGAGTTATCGTATTAGACCTCGAACGAGCTTCTTCTTGAGGCGAAGGCTCATTGAAGGTCATGACATCATTTCGGTTGTCTAAAGAAGGAGATTGGGGCGGTGATGCGTACTTTCGAGCAATTTCTCGGATCCACGGGTCGTGATGTGTCAAAACTCGGTTTAAGTTAACATTATCTTGGGGAGAATTCGGGCTTCCCTGAAATGGGTTTTGAGCACCTAGGGACATTTGCATATGGCTCATTTGAGAGTTCTGGTTCTGATTCTGGTTTTCATTCTGATTTTGATTTTGATGCTGATTTTGGTTTTCGTCTTGAGAAAACTCTCGTCGCTGTGCTGACATCGCGGGGCTTGTCGGATGGTTCGGTGGCAAAGCAGGCGGCGTCGAATTCTTATTTTTCTGTCTTGAACTAGATCTTCGTCTTCCGAAAGGGCTTTTGATCCCAGATTCTTTTTCAACTTTCAGTTCTTGGTTTGGAGTATTCTCTGAACTTGCTGATATCGATCGTTGCTGTTGGCTTTGCTTTTTATTGCTACTAAACATCGGAAGGCGCGACTGACGTGCTTTTGACTCTCTCGGCGATGCAAGAGTTGAACTTCGGTCTGGACTATTTGGAATCTGGTTTTGATGCTGAAGCTGGCTTTGACCCTGTTGACTTTGATTTTGACCTCCATTTGACCCTAAAGAGGTCCTGCTATTTGTATGGCTATTAGCTTGAATTGACTTTAATTGGTTTATTTGACCATGAACCGGAGGCGTCAATGGCGCCCTTCTAGGGATACGAGGTTTGAATTCGGCGTTGTTATTATTTCTGCTGTTCGGAGAGTTGTAACCCTGAGGACTTGAGTCCTGGAGCGAGTTGCTTCGTCTTGGGATTGCGGGGTCTTCGTTTTCGAATCCTGACGGAGATGGGATACTAAACGCACTGTTGATCTGCTCTTGAGCAGTCGAGGCACTCGGAGGCATCGGAAGGAACTCATACAGCTCCTCTCGAATTACTTTTTCTTTCGGCTCTGGTTGTGAATCAGTCGTAACATATGGTGGCCAATCATAATACGGGTTCGAATTCGCATTCGCAGTTGCGTTTCCAGAATCTGAGTTCATATTTTGGAAGCTGCTGTTTGGATTGCCGAAGCTTTTATCGGGTTTCAAAGAACTTGGGTTTACTTTTGGGGTTTCCATTTTTAGTTGAGGTATATGTTTGCTTCTGAAAGTCGAGTCTAATTGCAGATAACTTTGAAGCGGAGGCTTCTTTATAGCTTGTGGGCTCTGAACTATATCCATATACACAGGGTTCTCAGCTTCTGTAACTTCCGTGTTTGTTTTTTCAGATTTCCCCTGGTACTGAAATTTTTGAGGGGGTTTCAACTGATTGGGTCTTGGGATGTTTCCCATTTTCCGATTGTCAAACGCAGATGCAATCTTCCGACTGTTGTTCTCGGCCGAAGTGAGAATGACTCCACTTTCGGCCGAATTAGAGTGCGAGCTGTTCGAGTGTTCGAGAGTCGGCTTCTCCGAGCGTCTCTGGTTATCAACACTGACACTGGAAGCATCACTTCTGGCTACGTACGTCGCTTCATTAATCTTGTCCTCTCCTTTTTCTAGACTTGGCGCAATTTGGTCCAGAACATTGAGGATTTCTTCTAATTGCTAAAAGGAGTGAAATTGAAAATCCGTCCAACATTTAACAAGAAAGGGAAATGCCAACATACAAGCTATTGAGTTTTTGGTTAAAGTTGGGTTGAGAAATGTTGTCTCACTCTTAAACTGAATTTTATCGAGTTTATTTTTATCCTCACCCTCACCCTCAAGACGCCCCCCCCCCCCCTCGGGAATTTGACCCCCTGACTACCCAAAGGGTCCCCCCTTTGCTAGCATTTTAGGATATCCTTTTGTTGTGAGCCATTTTTTGTATCCATTTTTTGTTACCCTAAAATTTTTCTAAAGGAGCATTTGGCGCCGACAAATCTTAACTTGAAGGGCTAGCGCGCGCCAAAAAACGTATTGTTTTTGGATAAAAATTTCCAAAAAGGGCCTAAAAACGTCTTTTTTGCCTGTTTTTTTTTCAAAATTTTGCTAGCGGCGCAGAAAATTTTGTTTAAATAGGGTCTTTATTGTTAGTCATTTGGGAATGCTCAGAAAAAATATTTGATCGACCTAAAAAAGGGTCAACAAAGTTTTCAAAAGATTTTAGGAAAATTTAAAAATCATAATAGGAGATATTTACAAAATGCTATAAATATATACCTAACGGTATCTGCATTTCAAAAGGTTTTTCAACATTTTATAGGTTCACGTTTTGTGCCCATGCTCAATAAAATTAACCAATTGTTTTGTCTCCAGAAACACGATTTGCTTTCTAATTTAATCGGTAAGTTATTTAGTAAATTTTCTAATAGGAAGATTTTGTGGTTTGGCAAACCCTACTAGTTCTCAAAATGGACCAAAACTACTTTCTGGTCTCGATAATTGAACCAGATTCCACAAAAGTACGTCATGTAAATATCCCTGAGAACTCTAAATCTTATACATTTGGTAAAGAAATAAACATATTTGGTGGTAGGTAATACTTAATGGGCCGCAAAATCGTGAGAACACGAATACAAAATTCGTTTTCACTCAAATTAACTTTCTCGTATGCGACTTGATTTAAGTTGAAAGTGGGGAGGGCTATAAAAAGGCTATTGTCTCCAACGCTCAGTCGGTGGCTCGAGAATTAAAATGATCTGTGCTTGCGAGGGTGAGGCTTGCGAGGGTGAGGCACTTTTTCACGGCCCGAAAACATAACCAAAACAATTGCAGATGAGTCTAATTAAAAGCACACAGCGGTTCTCAGTATATAGCTGAACAGCTCATACTTTGTTCACCGCTCCTAAAAGCAAATGGGCTCCTTTTCCTTTTCTCTTCTTTTAATTCAATTTAAATTTGTCATATTGTAATGAAAGATTAAGTACTGAAAAATAATGTAATGAAAACAAGAAAATGATTTGAAATTTATTAGCCAGCCCGTCTCCAATAATCAATCGCCTCGCAAAAAAGCATACCTATTGAAGCTTTGAAATTTTGACATACTATCGGCTATTTCAAACCGAAGTGGTTTGCATTTGAAAGAGCCATGGAACTTTGCAATTTTGATCAGTTATTTCATGAAACATAACCAATGGCGAACAGTTAAATTTTTCTATTGAAGCGATGGAATAATGAAATATATCAAATTGCTTTAGAGACCAAATCAATTCGCAAAAGGTTCATTTTGTTCTTAAAAAAGCTACTGAATCTATAAATACTTGAAATGTTTCGAGTAGCAATTGCTTCATAGACCGAATCAGTTCACGAAATGTTCAAGTTATTCTTAAATCTCGAATTGTTTCATAGAATGAATTGGTTCGCAACAAGCCCAAATTCTCCTGAAAAAAGCTACGCAAGCTATGAAATTTTTGTATGTCAAGTAATGTCATCAAGCAAGTCGGTCGGCAAGAAAATTGAATTTTCTATTGAAGTCATTCAACCGATAAAAGTAATTTTATAGAAGGGATCGGTTCGCAAAATTAAAGTTTTCCTATGTAAGCTGTTGAAGCTATGAAAATTTGAAAAAAAAATTATTTCGTAGACCAAATCGGTTCGCGAAAAGCTTAGGCTTCTGTAAGCAACCAAGTTTTTCACAACGAAACTTGAAACATTTCAAGCTATTAAAAGATCAAAGTTTCGTGAAAAAATTATAAGTAAACTAATCAAGCTATGAAATATTTCCAGATATTTCAAATTGCGAATCGGTTTGCAAAAGTTTGAGTTCTTCCGCGCAAGCTATTTAAGCGATGAAACTTTGATATATTTCAAATTATTTCATAGCACGAACTGATTTGCAAAATGTTTCAGGTTTTCCAAGCAAGCTTTCCAAGCTAAGAAACTTTGATACAATTCAAATTGTTTCATAGCGCCAATCAGTTTGCAAAAAATTTGAGTTTTTCCAAGCAAGTTTTTCAAACTATGAAGTATTTCATAGCGCGAATCGATTTGCAAAAAATTTGAGTTTTTGCCGAGCAAACTATTTAGGCAATGAAACATAAAATATTGTAAAATATTTCATAGACCGAATCAGCTCAAAAACGAAACAATTTTTTAAGCAAGCTACTTAAGTTTAGAAACTTTGAAATACTTTAAATTACGCAGAAAATTCAATTTTTATAAACAAACTATTCAACCTTGAAACTTTAAAATAATTCAAGTTATTTCATAAAGCGGATAGCTTCAAAAAAAGCCCTTTTTTTTAAATCGTGGAGCTAGCTTTTTATTTGATTTGTTTCAGACTGAAATGAATCTGAGAACCTTAAAATTTGGCCAAAATTGAGCAAGTTCTGTCTAGCTTTGAAGTTCGAGTTCAAACTTTTTGAAGATTATTAGATTTTTAAAAAAAGAATTCTAGAGTATTCCAGACTTTAGAAAATTCGATAGCCGCTTTAAATAATTCTTAGACATTTTGATCTAAGCCTTTTAAAAGGTTGTGCTCGATAGTCCCTTAAAAATTAGGCTTTATGCTAAATTGATGTCATTCATTTAAAATATAAGCTTTGAGTTCAATGCTCTCAAAAACAATTGAAAATTTACGGAAAATTGCTAAAAATGAATGAAAATCCATACCGCTTCATGGAGCGACTCTTTTTTGGACGCTTTCCTAGAACTGTCACTACTGTAGTCTGACCTTGAGGCAGACCTATCTCGGATCAGATTTTCGCGGTTATTGCTCGTCGAATCCAATTGGTCGAACATATCTTGATGCTGATTGTTCAATGTGGGTGAATCAGGGTCCAGATTGGTGAGTGTAGAAGTCTTGTTTTTCTCTTCAAGAGTGGCTTTTATGTTCTGGTTTTCCTGTTCCAGTTGTTGAACCAGATCTTTGAGCCTTTTGCATTCACTTTGCAAATCCTGAAAAAATCTTAAGAGCTTCAATAAATCTTTTTTAAATGCTATTTTGACATCATTTCGCAAATTAGGATAAACAATTTCAAGTAGATTGTCGCCCTTATCAAGACTAAGGGCAGCTTTTGAGGGCAAGTTTGTGGTAAAAATTTTTTCAAATTCCAATCGGCATTTAATTTACCTTGAGATAGTTTTTCGATACAGCGAAAAAAGGCATTAAAAATGAGCTTTTAAAAAGCCAACAGATCCAGATGTTTTCAAAATTTTTTAAGCTTGACTAAAAAATTGCTACTAAAAAAATTGCGTCGCCATGTGGGCGGCACTATAATTAACAAGCTTAGCGAAACAAATTCAGTTCAAAATAATGTTCAGCTCGGCTTCACTTTTTTGAGATGATATAAAAAGTTCTGCCAACAATTATTTGTCAAAAAGTCGGAGTTTGCCTTGAAAAAGGCACACCAAAGTCAAATATTCCTTCGAAAACTGTCTTCAAAAAATGAGAGTGACCTTCTGGGCTGTGATAGCAGTGTGCACTTTCTCCGTCACTTCATTGAGACACTTCTCATAGCTGTGCTGCTGACTCCTGCTGCTCTCACTCAGCCGTTTGTTCTCCTGCTCCAGCTGAACTATCCTGTCATTCATCTTCGCCTCCATCTCCTCCACAGACTGGGAATGGTGAGTCATGTCTGCTAGTCCCCCACCACCCGGCGGCACTCCTCCTGTCAGAGTTTGCTGTCTAGACTGGCTGCGAGTCTGAAATATTACAATCAAGGTCACAAAATTTGGCTATGATTGTTACTAGATTTTGAAGTGCGATTATTCACAGTAGCTCTGAAAAAGTGTTATTTAACTGAGATAAGAGCCTGAAACATTACAAGCTGGCTCGAGCTGATACGTTACAAAATTTTATGAAATTTTTACTAAAAAATCAATTTCTACCAAAAAAATCAAGCGGCCAAGTTTGTTCTGAAAACAATTAAGAGTTCGAAAAATATGTGCCAATCAAAGATCAGAGCCTTTTTTTACTTTCATGCATACCAACCATCAATCTTTTTTTTAACTTTCACAAATCTTTATAAGTTCTTACCTTTTTTTTCAACTTTCACAAATCTTTATAATTTCTTACCTTTTTTTTGCCGGCTGGGCGTGGTTTCCTCAGACTGCTTATGAGTTGGTTGCTCTTCTGGCTGATCTGTCCCAGTTGGGTGTGGAGTGTCTGCAGTCTGGACCTGCTGGCCTCGTTCTCCTCTATCAACTGACCCACTCTCTCCTCCGCCTCCTCACGCAACGCACGCTCCTCCTCTAGTTCACGCTCGATCAGCTCACGCTATATAAACAGAAAAACATATTAATCATAATAATAATCAGGGGCGGGTTTGGGGAGGAGCGGGGGGGGGGGGGGGGTTTAATGTTTAAGGTTTAAGCCGTTTTTTATAGAAAAATAACCAAGTGATTTTGAGAGACTCTGAGTTTTTTTGAACACCCCTCTGTTCCTTTTTCTTCTCAGGGATTCGACCCCCCGCCGACCCAAGGAGTCTCTCCTTTGTATACAAATGCCTAGAAACGCCTTTTTGGTCTGTGTTCTCAAAATTTTGCCTGTGACACAGAAATTGCGGCCGAAGCAGCGTCTTTTTAGTGCTTTGGGAGAGCTCTGAAACTCAATTTAATCGACCTTAGAAAAATCTGAAAGTCCACCCCTCCTTGAGAAAAGCTTAGACCCGCCCCTGATAATCATAATAATGATCATAATAATCATAATAATAATTATAATAATCATATTAATAACAAAAATAATAATAATACTATTAATATCAATCGTAATAAAAATCAGGGATGGATTTAGGGGGGGGGGCAGGGGAGGCGGACGCTTTTCCCCATCCTCAGGGTTTCGACCCCCTGCCGACCCAAAGGTTTCCACCTTTGTACGATTTTGAGGTATCCATTTTTGGTGGCTGAACCATAAAATTTTTCTTTTCAAAGTTGCCGTTGGCGCAAGTACTCCTTAATTTTTTGGGGGGGGGGGGGGGGAGCGTGCGCCAAAAAAATGCAACTTTACGGTCAAAATATTCAAAAAAAATCCTAATGTTTTTTTTCCAAAATTTTGCTTGCGGCGCAGAAATTTTTGTCAAAACAGTGCCTTTTTTAGTACTTTGGGAGGTCTCGGAAAATCAATTTGGTCGACCTACAAATATGTCGACAAATTTTCAAAAAAAATTGAAAATCCGCCCCCTTCTCCCTTGAGAAAACCCTAGATCCTAGATCCGCGCCTGGTAATCATAATAATAATCATAAAAACCAATCATAGTCATGATAAAAATAATAACCACCACAAATTTGTTTTCTCGAAGACAACAGACTCTTATTATTATACAGATTAATACAACAGATTATTATTTACACAACTTTCCATAAAAAAACCCATTTGGAAGAAAAAACGTCTAATTTTTTTAATGGGCTCTACTTCAAAATTTTTTTTGTTTCTGATATGTTTTTTTAAAGAAACAAAATAGGATTAGGGCCTGAAATTATATGATACTTGTACGCAACCGGTCAATCTTTTTCATGCAGCCCTTTACTTTTAAAGTCGTAGTTTTTCAATTATGTTCTTTCAACTGAGTTTATTTATTATTGTGATTTGTGTAAATAATAGTCGGGTATGTTATTTTCTTGAAAAGAAATCTATGATTGTTTTTATGATTTTTATTATGGTTATAATTATCATTTCTATTATGATTATCATTATGAAAATTTTTATTGTTATTATTAAAGCGCATAGTGGTAAGGTGTTCACTCTGAAATCGTCAGATCGTGTAATCGATCCCATGCAATGACAATGATAGTGTATGGGGACGAGCACTTGACCTCTAGCTTCAGGTCTACCACAGCTTGAACAATTTCGGCTGCAATAGTGGTACCATTTAAAAATTCTAGACGAAAAAAACGGCCTTGGGTCGCAAAAAAAGAGCTTCGCTCAACAAAATAACACAGTCTGGAATGTGGGGAGATAATACAAATGAACTATCCTCGACAGGACTGTTAAGGCCTACTGATAGCTCCTCTGCGATTCGCAGGAACCACATTATTTTTATTATTATTATGATTATTATTATTATGATCATTATTATTATTATCAGGGGCGGATCTGACTAATAATAAAAAATCCCATTTGCAAGAAAAAACTTTTTATTGTTATTTCAAATCCCATTTCAAAGTTTTTTTTCTAAAATTTTCTTCTTCAAAAGTAAGGGACTACATGAACAAAGATTGGCCGGTTGCGTACAAATATCATATAATTTCAAACCATAGTCCCAACTTTTTTACTTGGAGAAAAAACAAATTAGAAACAAAAAACTTTCCAAATTTTTTGTCGTTTTTAGTGCTGTATTTACATCAAAAAATTAACCCTGGAACGTTCACTTTAAGCTGTAAAAAATCGAATTCGTCATCATAATTAGCTATTTGCTTAGGTCGATAGAATTTAGATATTGGAAAGCCTAAAGTTCTTTTGAGGTCCAGAGTGGCTTTGTAATTACAGTTTATAAGTGTACTGTCAAGTTGCTAGAAAATCAGTATCAAAAAATCACATTTTGTTGACTTGTGGTTTAGCTTTCAGAGCATTATAAAATCGTGTTATAGAATTCTCAGAATTTTCAATAATCAGAACTCTCAATACGCTCGAGCGCTAGTTAACAGTTTTATATAGATGGGCGGAGATTTTTTAGTAGATACCATAAAATGAGGCGGGGTTGTTAAGTAGATCCGGGTTTTGTACTAGAAAAGAAATCAGGCTTCACTCACGTAGTCTTCTGGTGAGTCACTGAGTGCATTCTTCTGCAGTTCAGCCACAGTCATTCGCTCCCTAAACAGATAAGCTGAAATGGATCTTTGATAGGAGAAATATTTCATCCCAGAATGGTCATAGGGCAAAATACTTTCAACCAATGAAAAGTCTCCGCAAAATTTCCGCAAAACATCCTGAATTGCCATGATTCATTTGAATCACTAGTCGGTACTCAATAACCAGGAAGGAAGCTTGACGATTCAATCAGGGTATCTGATAGTTGAAATGATTTTGATTGGTAGGTAGTTTTCTGTAATTGAATTATCATGCCATCAGAATAAACGCGTTATAACTAAAAATCGTAACATAACGAAACAGATTCGTTTGAGTCATTCGTTGAGTCAATTATAGTTACAAACACAATTTTTGCCTAATTTACTAGCTGTAAGATGCTGCAAGGATCAATCCGCCGTAGAAACTCTACCGTTTCGCACTATCACTATTTTGGATATAAAACTCAAGATAAGACTGCTCGCATTGGAGAATGCCCTGAAGTTTCTGACTATATTTTAAGGCTTCGAGTTGTGTTTGCTTTTAAAAATTGGATGAAACTTTTAAAAATTAAAAAAAAAACTCAAAAAACTGGGATTTTTTTTGATAAGCACCCCCCTACAGGCTATGTTACGTACATTGTGATGTTCTTAGCGTCTATTTTTGTATTCATGACATCAAAAAGCAGATTGATGAGCAGATTAATGAGCGGCTGACACGTTAAAAGCACGGAATAACTCGCGTGTTAATTGTCCTGAATAAGCAAAACTGGCAATTTTTAAACCTTCATGTCTTTTCAAAAAACAATCGCATGCTTAATATCTTATTAATTTTGCGCTCAGGGCATCACTCGTTTTTAAATAATACAAAAATGTCAATTCAAAACTAGCTAGTCTGGAGAAAAAATCACGCGAGCACAAATATTCCACCTTTTTCTTCAAAAGTCGGAACAACAAGAATGCGCAAAAAACCGTGCAAAATCTCAGATAATTTAAGTACTCCTTGAATCTTGAGAAACGTTTTTGCTCTATCGAAATTGATAAAAATAATTTGAAAAAAGTTGGAAAATGAGTGATTTTTTTTCACTTCGTCTTCAAATACAAAGAGGTGTATTCTGCGTATCGTTTTGTATTGTAAAAGATAAATTGTTGGCCTCAATTTAGTTTGAAATGATTTAATTAGCCATTTATATGTGTTATAAGAAGTCAACATACGGCGCGTTTATTATTGCAAATGGCCCAAATAGGCAACTTATAAACCCCCTATAGTAGTATTAGCAAATAATCAGTGGTGAGAAACTGCTTAAGTTTGAGCTCAAAACAACGACATCTTTCTGATGGTCAAAAGTTTCAAAAACACTTTTGGGGGACATGATATTTTTTGCAATAAATTTGAACACCCAACCCACAATGTAAAAAAACTTTCATTCTAATTTTCTTTTACCGCTTTCACTATTAGCAATAAATCTGATTTCATGATGAAAACTTTGGCGCCAAATGAGCTATTTTTAGTGAACAACGTGCGCTTGTAGAAAAAAACGTAATCTTGTTTTCAAAAACTTCAGCACATATTTTTCTATATTTTGCCGGCTAAAATTTTTGTCATTTGGTGATTTTTACAAGCGCTTCAGGAGAACTCAGATAATGGTTGATGAAAATTTTGAGGACCTAACTAAAGCTGTATGAAACTCAGGGGTGGATCCAGGATCTTCTCTAGCGTGGCGGGTTTTTAAAAAAAATCGACCCCCTTTAGGAATTCGACCCCCTGCCGACCAAAAGGGTCCCCCCTTTGGTACTTTTTAAGAATCTATTTTTGGCCGACCGGCCCTAAAAACTTTCTAAAGGAGATTTCGACGCCATACTAATTTTGAGGGGGGAGCGCGCTACTAATTATGAAATAGCGCTGAAATAATTTTGCATTTTCATCAATAATTTAGGACAGATTTTTGCTGATTTTTGAGTATTCTAAATCACTAAAAAAACGAAGATCCTATCCTACTGAGGCTCGATCTACCGGAGTGCAGACTCTTATGATGCTCTTACTATAATTTATGTCAATATAGGTATAGGGTTCAAAATCAACTTTATCATTTAAGTGATTGTCACAAGAATTCGGTTATAATTTTTGGAATAAAATTGTAGCAATCTAACTCTGATTTCTCCCTGAAACATTCCCGGGAGAACCTGAAATAATTGAAACTTTTTGATTCATTAATGAATCAGCAATAAATATTTGGGTTCACAGGAGAAGGTACTGCAAAATTCGCAATGATTGACGATGCGACTTCAACCCGGGCATCTTAAAGAAAGATTAGTTTCAAATCAGTTCTTAAATTGATTTACCTCTCGAGATTTTGTTGCTCGTTTTCCAGCTGGTTAGTCAACTGTTCAATTTCGCTCTGAAGAAGTTCCTGAAACAAATCAAAAAGAATTTTAACTCGTTCTACAATTAGGCTTTAAGCAAACATTTTTGATAGTTTTATTGATCGAGAGTACTTCAAAATTTGCTGCTCTCTTCATTTTTTATATATCTAGACAGCTATATGTATATAGTACATGCATATTTGTAGTTTGAAATATTTTGTGAAAAATATGAATGAATTTTTTGCGTCATCACACCTGAGCAGTCCTGACAGAAAAATTGTAGAAGTTTGCGAGCAACAATATCAGGCAAAGACACGGTTTATGATTATTATTTGAGGTCCACTGATTTATTTTGTACTGAAGTTTTCTGAACAAACAAATAAAAAAATTTCTGACGCTTAGTCAAAACTTTTTAAAATTGTTTTTAATTATGTGATGCTGTCTGATAAACAGAAATTAATTCATTCCGCTTCACTAAAAGCTCATGAACAAACAAAACGGTTGAAAGAAAAACAAATATTGCTTTTTTTCTACCTCGTAGCTCCTTCCCGAGTTACTCCGAGGAGTAACCGAACCCGCTCTTTGATCCTGGTAGCTCTCAGGTCTTGGGAAGTTAACCTTTGGTCCTCTGTTAGCCTTGGGTAAACTACTAAAAGTCTTTGGATGAGTCAACAAATGTGTATGCTCCACAAGCGGTGATATTTGTTGCTGATTTTGACCTCCGAAGTTGTTAACTTTTTGAGTTGACCTTGACCGGTCACCGGCACTCATGTTGGAAAACTGGTTCTGAAGGTGGACAATAGTTGCGGGCTCTGGGATCCGGACGTCATTCAAATCAGCGCTATGGTGAATTGGCTGATTGCTGTTAGAATCGTTTGGGTATCTTCGACGCTCAGAGTTACTTCTAACCCAGCCTCGATTAGGGGATCTGGACATATCGCGATGCTGACTTGAGTCGGGCGGCATAAGAGTATTTTGAGCACTCTGACTGTGGTGATAATTAGTTGCGCGATTTCCGTTGTAAATTACATCGACAAGGTCAGGTTGTTCCTCTCCGAGATTTTCAAATGTAAAAAAAGTCCCTCCGGGAAGATTTTTGCTGTTTGGGTAATTAGCCGAATACTCGTTTTGACCATTAGATTGTCCGGTAGGATTTGAGAACCGTCGATTAGAATTGGTTTTCGACGCCTTGAAAGAAACGTCACACTTAATGCTTTGACCGTAGTTCGAATTTTGTTCATCATTTGAGTAGGTTACATTTTGATAATTCGCAGAGTGACCATTTTCGAACCTTTGCGTAAACGAATCGCTGCTATATGCCGAACTCCGATTAGCACGTTGCGGAGTTAGCGTAGATTCAGGTTGAGTCTGATTAAAAATTGGCGTTCTGTCGCGGTAAGCAGAAAACGCCGAGTTGCTATCCGGTGAGTTCTGATTAACCGAGAAATTAGTCCGATTTGGTTCCCAATAGTCGCCTACTAATACACTAGCACCAGGTAAATTACTTCTTGTTGGGGTGTTTAGATTGTTGTTGATGGACTCATGCTCGTAATTTTGCAAATCGTCTCGGCTTTTATGTTCCGCTTCAGAGCTTGCAGTCGTGTTTGAAGCTATTGCACTATTTTGCCCCGAGGAGTTGTATTGCCGATGTGGGATGACCCTCGTCGCAGGTTGATGAAACGCACTATTTCTAGACGGTGAAAAGTAATCACTTAGAGGTCTAACGGGGTTTGAAGTCAGTGCGTTTCGGGCGCCGCGATTGAAGGCCGGACTGGGCATCGAGTTGGGGAATGCGGCCGACTGTCTTCGGAAAGTTGCCGGTGACATCACTTCGTTGGAAGGCATGATTTGCATTCCGCTGTGCTGGTGGTAACTGTTCGGCCGAGGATTGTTAGACGAGGAACGACTGCTACCTGTTCGGCTTTCGGACGAGCGTTGTCTATCGTTTCGGTCAAAAGATCCGAAGTATCGGTCGTGAATCGCTCGTGCCTCCGCCTGGATTTCGGACTCCAAGTGGTTGTAGGTCGTGGACTCTGGATTTTGGGAGGGGTAGTATTGTGAATAGTTTAAAGAAGGGATTTGGTATTGAATATAACTTTTTCCCGAAGAGCTTATGAACAAGTTCTCATTTGGCATATTGGGTAATACGAATTCCGGTCTGCTGGCAAATGACCGGTATTGTGAAGTTGAGATCCCTGGTTGTTGACGTGAACTTACAGCGGAAGTATTTATAGAAAGTTCTGTTCCGTAAACATGGTCCGGTTCGTCGGATCCCTCGCCTCGGGGTTCAAACTCGTAGTTTCGATAGTCAAGAGGTAAAGCTACCGAGTACCGGTTGCTATTAATGTGGTATCCTAACATTTTGGGACACTTTTAATGCTATGCAGTTATGATAAGTTATGATAGTAAAAGCCTCATGGCTTAGTTGTAGATGTTTGTAAACAGCCAAAAGCCTGAAGAAACAAGCTAACTATGTGAATCTCAAGTCAATTTTAAGATATTTTCTCAAACGTCTTCAAGTAGCCTTTAGCACAAAAAGAGTAAAGCTTCTCAAACTAACACTCTTTTGCGTAATTTGGACTATAATTTACAATATGCCAACCAGCTTATGATTATTTAATAGTTGAACTTTTGTGCGCTCTGCATCCAAAAATTTTGATTAATTTTGAACTGGCAAGCGTAAAAAATCTCGTTAATCGTAATATTGATATGGTCAAATTCAGCTTTAAACAAAAAGGCACAACAAAAATAATGAGACTAAATTGAATTCAAACTGGGCCGCTCTAAATTCGAAACACATTTTTGTTTTGGTTCCGAAACGAATTCAATTTTTGCCGGCTCACTAGAAACAAGTGAGTCAGCCCAGGTATTTCTGGACCAAATTACCATAATCCCTCAAAAGTATAATGATAAAACGTCCCTTAAAATTAGTCCAGTGAAAACAGCTATTAAATATGAGTGGTCCAAATAGAGCTCTGGACCGTACAAACATTTTCAATGCTCACAGGGCCTAAAGTTTGATAAACTCAAAAAACAGCTGGTTAGAACAAACTGCAAAAACGTATCTAAATTTATAGCATTTATCTAGCTATATTTATCATTCTCAATGTCAGAATATAGTTCATTATAATGAAATTATTTCACAGCATGGACTTTTGATAGCGTTTCTTGCGTCTAGAGTTTTTTTTCGGTTCGGTGGTCAATCGGTAAACAAAATCGACGGCTCCGGCTTATCAAGCCAGGAGGGGCAATTGCCTCTCAGTTGTGTTTTGAAAGAGCCAGAAATCTCAGTTTGGTTTTATACTTTCCAAACAAAGTTTTCAACTGAACCTCTCGTTTGAAAGGAATGCACTTGAAAAGCTCTTTTCTTTCACTCCAGCCCAAAATGCAACTGGAGATCTAAACCTGTACTAGATATAATTCCCTCAGCTTATAATCTAGAATGGTTATAACTACTTAATGTGACCGAGTGTCTTACATTGGCTAAATAATATGGACATGGTTTGATAAGAATATATGTGGGCTAAAAATGACTGAAAGCAAAGTTACAGCGAGGCCTAAGGAACGTTTAACTGGATCTACTTGGTATTATTACTATTGAATTTATAGGGTAAAATATGAGGTATTAAATTAGACTAAAACCAGGACACTAGGGTTGTTCATTCATAAAAACCAGACTGTGTCCATAAAAATTAAGAAAACAAAGATAGACAGGCTTGAGTTAACTAACATGTCAAGCGCAGAATTTGCTGAAGTTACAGTCAGTATTGGCTGACAATAACTGTGAGCAAAAAGTTTTCAGTTACGAGCGACGCAGTAATACGATCTTTTGTGATTAAAATCTCTTTCGGTGTTTTTAGGGTTTTTAGTTATACCTCACTAAACGAGAAAACAAATGAAAAAGAAAAACTATATTAGAAAATTGGATTAAGTTTACTACCCGGTATACTAACGAGCAATAGTTGTTCGCGACTGATGCGACTAAAAACAAACAAGACTGCTCGTATCACGGCAAAGCCCTGAATGTTCCGACGGCGGGTTCTCAACAAACCGCCATATCTACAAACCACCATACATTGAAGCCGAAATTGCATCAGAATTACGCAATTTGCATCAGAGTTACCTAACAACTGCACAACAACAGTGACAATCAGTTGCTATCTTGCATAATAAAATTATCTCTCGACTTGTTGCAATGATAATCCTATTTTTGGTTTATTGGCCCTTCGGATTGCTGACCTATCACCGTTCCGACTGCCTTTTAAAGTCTATGCAGCAGTAATAACATGACAAAAACTAAATGTAAAAAATAAAATGAAAAAAAGAGTAAAATTTAAAATTTTTTGAGAAAATCATCCCCAGCTCATCATATAAAGTACAGATTGATAGATTTTGAGTAACAAATCATATATGGCAAATAAGCTTTCTTCAACTAATTCAGAACTATTTCTAAGACGGATTAAATCTCCGCTCACGCGTAAATAGCTCAAAATATATCGCGCGTTATTTGTCCCAAATTGGCCAAAATTATCTTTTCAACTTTAAGCCCAAGACAACAATACCTTTTGAATGATAAAGAAAAAAAATCTGTCAAAATGGCTAATTAAAAAGTCAAACTTTTTCTACAGAAAAAGAACACCCCGAGTAGAAATACTCCGTTATTTTGTTACGAAAGTCGGAACAACAACCGCGACTGAAGCAAACAAAGAGAAGTTGACCAAGTTCGGCAATATTTTTGCGCTTATGACGTTTGCACCAAATTTTGAATTATTGTTCCGACTTTCGTAATGAAAATGACGGAATATTTGTGCTCGGGGAGGGTTTTTTCTTCGACTCTTTAACTAGCCACTATCGCAAAATTTTTTTATAACATTCGAAAGGTATTGTTGTGTTGAGCTTATATTTGAAAAGTTATTTCACCTGTGATCATTTTTCGCAAAGTTATGGGGGTTTAAATATTGCCATTTTGACCAACTTGGGACCATTAACGCGCGATAAATTTCGCGCTATTAACGCGTAAGCGGAGACTTAATTCGTCATTGAAATCGTACCACATTGGTTGAAGCAGGCTATTTACCATAATTGATATGTTACAAGGAGCAAAATGTATCACTTTGTACTTAATGCGGCGTGTGGGGGGATTATTGTTACGAAAAAATCTCAAATTAAAAAAGATTATTTTTATTTTTTGCATTTTTTTCTTCATGTTATAACTGCTCTATAGACCTTAAGAGGCAGTCGGAACAGTCAGGGCTTAATCCTGATACGAGCAGTCTTGTTATATCTAGTTCTTGCAATTTAGTTTATACTAGCTATTTAAAAAGCTTCTGTTATACATTCAACCATCACAAGTTTCCATAAAACAAACTTTTTTTTAAACTGAATTTTTATATTGTTTTTTTATTTAGAATTTTCTGTAGATAGAAGATTACCCTGTGTGATAAAACTCTTCGATAAAAAATCTTCGAAAACTCTTCTTTTATTTTGGCCAAATATCTGGTCACTTCTTGTTCATTTGTTTGAGATCTAGCTTTCTAGACCAGAACGTATGTCCCGACCGCGATTCAATATCCTGACTATCGCAACTCATTTTTAATCATTACGGCGAATCTCTTTTAGACTAAATTGTGAATAAATTTAAGACTATAACACGACTAATTTATATAGACTATCTTAACTAGTTTTCAGGTTATCACGGCCAAAATTTGATGTTGTAGGCTTTCACCCGCGACACTAGAAACTTTTTCACACTATAGTTCGTTGCTCGCGCATTTAAAATCGCCGCGGTTTTGAACAACACTGTAATGTAAAAAGTGATATAGGTATCGTCTCATATCGTAATAAAAAACAACTTGCTGCTTTCAAAATTCAGTTTAGAAATATTTAATATGCCGCTAACGCGTGGGTCGTATTAAATTATTCCAAATAAGCCAAATTTGCAATGTTCAAAGCCCATTACTTAGCAAAAAATATTCTTAAGTATTTTTTTATATTTGAGCTCCGGACAACGATATTTTTCCGATGTTAAATTTTCCTGATCTTTTGAAGACTTTCGTAATCTTTTCGTAAGGCTTTTCGTAGGGCTTTTCGTAATCTTAGAAGGCTTACGTATAAACTACGGCTAAATAAGAAAACCACCCCAAGCAAAGTATTCGGTCACTTTCTTCGACAATAAAAAATAGGAAAAAAATCTGCAAAATTTCAGAATAGGTGAAACTGCTACATTTGGCGTGTACCACGAAATACCGTTGCCTTTTGTTAATAATATCGATCCAGTTTTATAATAAATGTTTTCGTTTCTTTATATTCCTCATTTAGAGGAGGGATATAAATGGAATGACCGAAGAGATGAAATCACTGGTACCATTTTTTCGGCTAATAGATTTTTGATGTGTGATGTGTGTTATAGTCAGCTCAATTGGAACAACAGAGCTGTTGAAAGTTTCAGAAAAAAAATATCAAAAATGAAATGTGATCTGAGCAATCTAAGATAAATTTGCACACCAATCGAATGATCTTGTTCAACTCAGCAACAAAAATTTATTGATTTTATCAGTGTACTTTTGTTAAACCAGTGTACTTTCGTTCGAAAATACAAAAATTTGACGTTCAATTGAAAAATTTCAAATAGAGAAAGTATAAATCTCCTTTTTGGAGCAATTGAAGTGTAGCGTGTCTCTTTTCTGTATCTAATTGTCTCTGTATATCTTTTTACGCCTATCAAGTGGAAGGCATAAAAACATGTTGCACTGTTAATTAACCTAACCGTGTTTTTTAAAATTTTCCTTTTCAATTGTAGTATTGAGAAATACTACACAGACAAAAGACCATTGTCATAATTGTTTATTTAACGACCCAATTCTAAATTGGAGCGTGCCAATTAAATTAAAGCTTCTTTTCACTAAATCAGATATTGACTGATTTACTCGTATTAGGACTATAAAATCTTGTTTTGAAAATCCACTCCTTTTTAAATACTTGTCCAATTTTTCTCATTTTTTCATGCTCAAAATTTTAAAAGGGCGGCGATTATTAATACGTCCCTTTTAACTTAACTTGAAACAAACTGGATAAATATTTAGCAGTCTTGCCGGCTGCACTGAAATTCTCCTTGCTTTGATTAAGCAGAGATGCACCTGCAATATGATGCATCAGAGAGAGTAATACGAATTTTTAATTAGACAAACTGAAAGCTGCGGATTTTATCAAAGAGGACTAATAAGTTAGAGATATTTGATATGAAAAAATCAAACAAAAACTAGTTGAAAATTCCCTTATAAGAAAGGGAGAACAAAGGAGCAGGTGAAACCTGAATAATTAAAGATTGAATCAGGCGCCGGTTTATGCTTACGAGCAAAAGGACTGGCCTGAAATCTTCAGTGTTTCATTTTGCTCAGTAAGCAGGAAGTTAGTTCTCTTCAGTTAGACCTTTTCAAAAAATATATAATTTTTCTTTTCTGCCTTTACAGTAAAACTAAACTAGCCTTTTTTCACAAATAAAAAAGAGAATAAATTCTCATTTTAAGTTCGATAAAATTAAAAATCGAGATACTCGAGATAACCACACCTGAGGAAGTCTGGACTACAAGTACCCAAAAAACTACGGCAAGACAAAACTGAAAACCAAACCAGAAGTGCCAAGTGGACAAAATCAAGGGCAACCCAAGAAATTTAGCGAGCACAAATATTCCACCTTTTTCTTCAAAAGTCGGAACAACAAGAATGCGCAAAAAACCGTGCAAAATCTCAGATAATTTAAGTACTCCTTGAATCTTGAGAAACGTTTTTGCTCTATCGAAATTGATAAAAATAATTTAAAAAAAGTTGGAAAATGAGTGATTTTTTTTCACTTCGTCTTCAAATACAAAGAGGTGTATTCTGCGTATCGTTTTGTATTAAAAAAGATAAATTGTTGGCCTCAATTTAGTTTGAAATGATTTAATTAGCCATTTATATGTGTTATAAGAAGTCAACATACGGCGCGTTTATTATTCCAAATGGCCCAAATAGGCAACTTATAAACCCCCTATAGTAGTATTAGCAAATAATCAGTGGTGAGAAACTGCTTAAGTTTGAGCTCAAAACAACGACATCTTTCTGATGGTCAAAAGTTTCAAAAACACTTTTGGGGGACATGATATTTTTTGCAATAAATTTGAACACCCAACCCACAATGTAAAAAAACTTTCATTCTAATTTTCTTTTACCGCTTTCACTATTAGCAATAAATCTGATTTCATGATGAAAACTTTGGCGCCAAATGAGCTATTTTTAGTGAACAACGTGCGCTTGTAGAAAAAAACGTAATCTTGTTTTCAAAAACTTCAGCACATATTTTTCTATATTTTGCCGGCTAAAATTTTTGTCATTTGGTGATTTTTACAAGCGCTTCAGGAGAACTCAGATAATGGTTGATGAAAATTTTGAGGACCTAACTAAAGCTGTATGAAACTCAGGGGTGGATCCAGGATCTTCTCTAGGGTGGCGGGTTTTTAAAAAAAATCGACCCCCTTTAGGAATTCGACCCCCTGCCGACCAAAAGGGTCCCCCCTTTGGTACTTTTTAAGAATCTATTTTTGGCCGACCGGACCTAAAAACTTTCTAAAGGAGATTTCGACGCCATACTAATTTTGAGGGGGGAGCGCGCTACTAATTATGAAATAGCGCTGAAATAAATTTGCATTTTCATCAATAATTTAGGACAGATTTTTGCTGATTTTTGAGTATTCTAAATCACTAAAAAAACGAAGATCCTATCCTACTGAGGCTCGATCTACCGGAGTGCAGACTCTTATGATGCTCTTACTATAATTTATGTCAATATAGGTATAGGGTTCAAAATCAACTTTATCATTTAAGTGATTGTCACAAGAATTCGGTTATAATTTTTGGAATAAAATTGTAGCAATCTAACTCTGATTTCTCCCTGAAACATTCCCGGGAGAACCTGAAATAATTGAAACTTTTTGATTCATTAATGAATCAGCAATAAATATTTGGGTTCACAGGAGAAGGTACTGCAAAATTCGCAATGATTGACGATGCGACTTCAACCCGGGCATCTTAAAGAAAGATTAGTTTGAAATCAGTTCTGAAATTGATTTACCTCTCGAGATTTTGTTGCTCGTTTTCCAGCTGGTTAGTCAACTGTTCAATTTCGCTCTGAAGAAGTTCCTGAAACAAATCAAAAAGAATTTTAACTCGTTCTACAATTAGGCTTTAAGCAAACATTTTTGATAGTTTTATTGATCGAGAGTACTTCAAAATTTGCTGCTCTCTTCAATTTTTATATATCTAGACAGCTATATGTATATAGTACATGCATATTTGTAGTTTGAATTATTTTGTGAAAAATATGAATGAATTTTTTGCGTCATCACACCTGAGCAGTCCTGACAGAAAAATTGTAGAAGTTTGCGAGCAACAATATCAGGCAAAGACACGGTTTATGATTATTATTTGAGGTCCACTGATTTATTTTGTACTGAAGTTTTCTGAACAAACAAATAAAAAAATTTCTGACGCTTAGTCAAAACTTTTTAAAATTGTTTTTAATTATGTGATGCTGTCTGATAAACAGAAATTAATTCATTCCGCTTCACTAAAAGCTCATGAACAAACAAAACGGTTGAAAGAAAAACAAATATTGCTTTTTTTCTACCTCGTAGCTCCTTCCCGAGTTACTCCGAGGAGTAACCGAACCCGCTCTTTGATCCTGGTAGCTCTCAGGTCTTGGGAAGTTAACCTTTGGTCCTCTGTTAGCCTTGGGTAAACTACTAAAAGTCTTTGGATGAGTCAACAAATGTGTATGCTCCACAAGCGGTGATATTTGTTGCTGATTTTGACCTCCGAAGTTGTTAACTTTTTGAGTTGACCTTGACCGGTCACCGGCACTCATGTTGGAAAACTGGTTCTGAAGGTGGACAATAGTTGCGGGCTCTGGGATCCGGACGTCATTCAAATCAGCGCTATGGTGAATTGGCTGATTGCTGTTAGAATCGTTTGGGTATCTTCGACGCTCAGAGTTACTTCTAACCCAGCCTCGATTAGGGGATCTGGACATATCGCGATGCTGACTTGAGTCGGGCGGCATAAGAGTATTTTGAGCACTCTGACTGTGGTGATAATTAGTTGCGCGATTTCCGTTGTAAATTACATCGACAAGGTCAGGTTGTTCCTCTCCGAGATTTTCAAATGTAAAAAAAGTCCCTCCGGGAAGATTTTTGCTGTTTGGGTAATTAGCCGAATACTCGTTTTGACCATTAGATTGTCCGGTAGGATTTGAGAACCGTCGATTAGAATTGGTTTTCGACGCCTTGAAAGAAACGTCACACTTAATGCTTTGACCGTAGTTCGAATTTTGTTCATCATTTGAGTAGGTTACATTTTGATAATTCGCAGAGTGACCATTTTCGAACCTTCGCGTAAACGAATCGCTGCTATATGCCGAACTCCGATTAGCACGTTGCGGAGTTAGCGTAGATTCAGGTTGAGTCTGATTAAAAATTGGCGTTCTGTCGCGGTAAGCAGAAAACGCCGAGTTGCTATCCGGTGAGTTCTGATTAACCGAGAAATTAGTCCGATTTGGTTCCCAATAGTCGCCTACTAATACACTAGCACCAGGTAAATTACTTCTTGTTGGGGTGTTTAGATTGTTGTTGATGGACTCATGCTCGTAATTTTGCAAATCGTCTCGGCTTTTATGTTCCGCTTCAGAGCTTGCAGTCGTGTTTGAAGCTATTGCACTATTTTGCCCCGAGGAGTTGTATTGCCGATGTGGGATGACCCTCGTCGCAGGTTGATGAAACGCACTATTTCTAGACGGTGAAAAGTAATCACTTAGAGGTCTAACGGGGTTTGAAGTCAGTGCGTTTCGGGCGCCGCGATTGAAGGCCGGACTGGGCATCGAGTTGGGGAATGCGGCCGACTGTCTTCGGAAAGTTGCCGGTGACATCACTTCGTTGGAAGGCATGATTTGCATTCCACTGTGCTGGTGGTAACTGTTCGGCCGAGGATTGTTAGACGAGGAACGACTGCTACCTGTTCGGCTTTCGGACGAGCGTTGTCTATCGTTTCGGTCAAAAGATCCGAAGTATCGGTCGTGAATCGCTCGTGCCTCCGCCTGGATTTCGGACTCCAAGTGGTTGTAGGTCGTGGACTCTGGATTTTGGGAGGGGTAGTATTGTGAATAGTTTAAAGAAGGGGTTTGGTTCTGAATATAACTTTTTCCCGAAGAGCTTATGAACAAGTTCTCATTTGGCATATTGGGTAATACGAATTCCGGTCTGCTGGCAAATGACCGGTATTGTGAAGTTGAGATCCCTGGTTGTTGACGTGAACTTACAGCGGAAGTATTTATAGAAAGTTCTGTTCCGTAAACATGGTCCGGTTCGTCGGATCCCTCGCCTCGGGGTTCAAACTCGTAGTTTCGATAGTCAAGAGGTAAAGCTACCGAGTACCGGTTGCTATTAATGTGGTATCCTAACATTTTGGGACACTTTTAATGCTATGCAGTTATGATAAGTTATGATAGTAAAAGTCTCATGGCTTAGTTGTAGATGTTTGTAAACAGCCAAAAGCCTGAAGAAACAAGCTAACTATGTGAATCTCAAGTCAATTTTAAGATATTTTCTCAAACGTCTTCAAGTAGCCTTTAGCACAAAAAGAGTAAAGCTTCTCAAACTAACACTCTTTTGCGTAATTTGGACTATAATTTACAATATGCCAACCAGCTTATGATTATTTAATAGTTGAACTTTTGTGCGCTCTGCATCCAAAAATTTTGATTAATTTTGAACTGGCAAGCGTAAAAAATCTCGTTAATCGTAATATTGATATGGTCAAATTCAGCTTTAAACAAAAAGGCACAACAAAAATAATGAGACTAAATTGAATTCAAACTGGGCCGCTCTAAATTCGAAACACATTTTTGTTTTGGTTCCGAAACGAATTCAATTTTTGCCGGCTCACTAGAAACAAGTGAGTCAGCCCAGGTATTTCTGGACCAAATTACCATAATCCCTCAAAAGTATAATGATAAAACGTCCCTTAAAATTAGTCCAGTGAAAACAGCTATTAAATATGAGTGGTCCAAATAGAGCTCTGGACCGTACAAACATTTTCAATGCTCACAGGGCCTAAAGTTTGATAAACTCAAAAAACAGCTGGTTAGAACAAACTGCAAAAACGTATCTAAATTTATAGCATTTATCTAGCTATATTTATCATTCTCAATGTCAGAATATAGTTCATTTTAATGAAATTATTTCACAGCATGGACTTTTGATAGCGTTTCTTGCGTCTAGAGTTTTTTTTCGGTTCGGTGGTCAATCGGTAAACAAAATCGACGGCTCCGGCTTATCAAGCCAGGAGGGGCAATTGCCTCTCAGTTGTGTTTTGAAAGAGCCAGAAATCTCAGTTTGGTTTTATACTTTCCAAACAAAGTTTTCAACTGAACCTCTCGTTTGAAAGGAATGCACTTGAAAAGCTCTTTTCTTTCACTCCAGCCCAAAATGCAACTGGAGATCTAAACCTGTACTAGGTATAATTCCCTCAGCTTATAATCTAGAATGGTTATAACTACTTAATGTGACCGAGTGTCTTACATTGGCTAAATAATATGGACATGGTTTGATAAGAATATATGTGGGCTAAAAATGACTGAAAGCAAAGTTACAGCGAGGCCTAAGGAACGTTTAACTGGATCTACTTGGTATTATTACTATTGAATTTATAGGGTAAAATATGAGGTATTAAATTAGACTAAAACCAGGACACTAGGGTTGTTCATTCATAAAAACCAGACTGTGTCCATAAAAATTAAGAAAACAAAGATAGACAGGCTTGAGTTAACTAACATGTCAAGCGCAGAATTTGCTGAAGTTACAGTCAGTATTGGCTGACAATAACTGTGAGCAAAAAGTTTTCAGTTACGAGCGACGCAGTAATACGATCTTTTGTGATTAAAATCTCTTTCGGTGTTTTTAGGGTTTTTAGTTATACCTCACTAAACGATAAAACAAATGAAGAAGAAAAACTATATTAGAAAATTGGATTAAGTTTACTACCCGGTATACTAACGAGCAATAGTTGTTCGCGACTGATGCGACTAAAAACAAACAAGACTGCTCGTATCAAGGCAAAGCCCTGAATGTTCCGACGGCGGGTTCTCAACAAACCGCCATATCTACAAACCACCATACATTGAAGCCGAAATTGCATCAGAATTACGCAATTTGCATCAGAGTTACCTAACAACTGCACAACAACAGTGACAATCAGTTGCTATCTTGCATAATAAAATTATCTCTCGACTTGTTGCAATGATAATCCTATTTTTGGTTTATTGGCCCTTCGGATTGCTGACCTATCACCGTTCCGACTGCCTTTTAAAGTCTATGCAGCAGTAATAACATGACAAAAACTAAATGTAAAAAATAAAATGAAAAGAAGAGTGAAATTTAAAATTTTTTGAGAAAATCATCCCCAGCTCATCATATAAAGTACAGAGTGATAGATTTTGAGTAACAAATCATATATGGCAAATAAGCTTTCTTCAACTAATTCAGAACTATTTCTAAGACGGATTAAATCTCCGCTCACGCGTAAATAGCTCAAAATATATCGCGCGTTATTTGTCCCAAATTGGCCAAAATTATCTTTTCAACTTTAAGCCCAAGACAACAATACCTTTTGAATGATACAGAAAAAAAATCTGTCAAAATGGCTAATTAAAAAGTCAAACTTTTTCTACAGAAAAAGAACACCCCGAGTAGAAATACTCCGTTATTTTGTTACGAAAGTCGGAACAACAACCGCGACTGAAGCAAACAAAGAGAAGTTGACCAAGTTCGGCAATATTTTTGCGCTTATGACGTTTGCACCAAATTTTGAATTATTGTTCCGACTTTCGTAATGAAAATGACGGAATATTTGTGCTCGGGGAGGGTTTTTTCTTCGACTCTTTAACTAGCCACTATCGCAAAATTTTTTTATAACATTCGAAAGGTATTGTTGTGTTGAGCTTATATTTGAAAAGTTATTTCACCTGTGATCATTTTTCGCAAAGTTATGGGGGTTTAAATATTGCCATTTTGACCAACTTGGGACCATTAACGCGCGATATATTTCGCGCTATTAACGCGTAAGCGGAGACTTAATTCGTCATTGAAATCGTACCACATTGGTTGAAGCAGGCTATTTACCATAATTGATATGTTACAAGGAGCAAAATGTATCACTTTGTACTTAATGCGGCGTGTGGGGGGATTATTGTTACGAAAAAATCTCAAATTAAAAAAGATTATTTTTATTTTTTGCATTTTTTTCTTCATGTTATAACTGCTCTATAGACCTTAAGAGGCAGTCGGAACAGTCAGGGCTTAATCCTGATACGAGCAGTCTTGTTATATCTAGTTCTTGCAATTTAGTTTATACTAGCTATTTAAAAAGCTTCTGTTATACATTCAACCATCACAAGTTTCCATAAAACAAACTTTTTTTTTTTAAACTGAATTTTTATATTGTTTTTTTATTTAGAATTTTCTGTAGATAGAAGATTACCCTGTGTGATAAAACTCTTCGATAAAAAATCTTCGAAAACTCTTCTTTTATTTTGGCCAAATATCTGGTCACTTCTTGTTCATTTGTTTGAGATCTAGCTTTCTAGACCAGAACGTATGTCCCGACCGCGATTCAATATCCTGACTATCGCAACTCATTTTTAATCATTACGGCGAATCTCTTTTAGACTAAATTGTGAATAAATTTAAGACTATAACACGACTAATTTATATAGACTATCTTAACTAGTTTTCAGGTTATCACGGCCAAAATTTGATGTTGTAGGCTTTCACCCGCGACACTAGAAACTTTTTCACACTATAGTTCGTTGCTCGCGCATTTAAAATCGCCGCGGTTTTGAACAACACTGTAATGTAAAAAGTGATATAGGTATCGTCTCATATCGTAATAAAAAACAACTTGCTGCTTTCAAAATTCAGTTTAGAAATATTTAATATGCCGCTAACGCGTGGGTCGTATTAAATTATTCCAAATAAGCCAAATTTGCAATGTTCAAAAAGCCCATTACTTAGCAAAAAATATTCTTAAGTATTTTTTTATATTTGAGCTCCGGACAACGATATTTTTCCGATGTTAAATTTTCCTGATCTTTTGAAGACTTTCGTAATCTTTTCGTAAGGCTTTTCGTAGGGCTTTTCGTAATCTTAGAAGGCTTACGTATAAACTACGGCTAAATAAGAAAACCACCCCAAGCAAAGTATTCGGTCACTTTCTTCGACAATAAAAAATAGGAAAAAAATCTGCAAAATTTCAGAATAGGTGAAACTGCTACATTTGGCGTGTACCACGAAATACCGTTGCCTTTTGTTAATAATATCGATCCAGTTTTATAATAAATGTTTTCGTTTCTTTATATTCCTCATTTAGAGGAGGGATATAAATGGAATGACCGAAGAGATGAAATCACTGGTACCATTTTTTCGGCTAATAGATTTTTGATGTGTGATGTGTGTTATAGTCAGCTCAATTGGAACAACAGAGCTGTTGAAAGTTTCAGAAAAAAAATATCAAAAATGAAATGTGATCTGAGCAATCTAAGATAAATTTGCACACCAATCGAATGATCTTGTTCAACTCAGCAACAAAAATTTATTGATTTTATCAGTGTACTTTTGTTAAACCAGTGTACTTTCGTTCGAAAATACAAAAATTTGACGTTCAATTGAAAAATTTCAAATAGAGAAAGTATAAATCTCCTTTTTGGAGCAATTGAAGTGTAGCGTGTCTCTTTTCTGTATCTAATTGTCTCTGTATATCTTTTTACGCCTATCAAGTGGAAGGCATAAAAACATGTTGCACTGTTAATTAACCTAACCGTGTTTTTTAAAATTTTCCTTTTCAATTGTAGTATTGAGAAATACTACACAGACAAAAGATCATTGTCATAATTGTTTATTTAACGACCCAATTCTAAATTGGAGCGTGCCAATTAAATTAAAGCCTCTTTTCACTAAATCAGATATTGACTGATTTACTCGTATTAGGACTATAAAATCTTGTTTTGAAAATCCACTCCTTTTTAAATACTTGTCCAATTTTTCTCATTTTTTCATGCTCAAAATTTTAAAAGGGCGGCGATTATTAATACGTCCCTTTTAACTTAACTTGAAACAAACTGGATAAATATTTAGCAGTCTTGCCGGCTGCACTGAAATTCTCCTTGCTTTGATTAAGCAGAGATGCACCTGCAATATGATGCATCAGAGAGAGTAATACGAATTTTTAATTAGACAAACTGAAGGCTGCGGTTTTTTATCAAAGAGGACTAATAAGTTAGAGATATTTGATATGAAAAAATCAAACAAAAACTAGTTGAAAATTCCCTTATAAGAAAGGGAGAACAAAGGAGCAGGTGAAACCTGAATAATTAAAGATTGAATCAGGCGCCGGTTTATGCTTACGAGCAAAAGGACTGGCCTGAAATCTTCAGTGTTTCATTTTGCTCAGTAAGCAGGAAGTTAGATCTCTTCAGTTAGACCTTTTCAAAAAATATATAATTTTTCTTTTCTGCCTTTACAGTAAAACTAAACTAGCCTTTTTTCACAAATAAAAAAGAGAATAAATTCTCATTTTAAGTTCGATAAAATTAAAAATCGAGATACTCGAGATAACCACACCTGAGGAAGTCTGGACTACAAGTACCCAAAAAACTACGGCAAGACAAAACTGAAAACCAAACCAGAAGTGCCAAGTGGACAAAATCAAGGGCAACCCAAGAAATACTACTCAGTCATAGTAAGAAGATAAAATATTGATGAACAAAATAAGATTAACTCAACCTCCCCTCATAGGTATATTTCTTTAAGCTGTTCGATTCGTTAATATAATATAATTACCCAGTGCTTTGTATTTAACCAACTAATTATTTCATAACTTTTCTAACTATTGTTTCTACTCTATTTTTTGTCAAGACAATTTGACGATTTAAGGTGAGACTTA